AGGTTTATTAGCTAGAGCCATTTTACAAAGATTTCCTGTGCATAATGTTAGAAATTTTATTTCCCTAAGCTCACCGCAAGCGGGACAATACGGAAGTACATATATTATGATATCCAAATAGAAAATAAAACAAAGATTTTGTTCTAATCATAAAATCCTGATTTCAGCACGTTTTCTGCGTTTGATTTTCCCAGATTTAGCTTGTGAGACTGCTTATGAACTCTTTTATTCACGACTTGGACAATACACCAGTGTTGGAAATTATTGGAATGATCCTCATCATCAAGTTATTAACTTTAATCTATTTTATGTATCAAGTATATTATTGTATATTCTAATATACATTTTTTTTCAGGAATTTTATTATAAGTACAGCAAGTTTTTACCATATGTGAACAATGAAATCAACGGTTTTAACAATTCTGACTATAAAATAGGTTTAACTAAGCTAAAACGAATGATACTTATTGGAGGACCGAACGATGGCGTAATCACTCCATGGGAAAGCAGTCATTTTGGATATTATGACAATAACAATACAGTGATAGACATGCGTGATAGAGATATTTATAAATTTGACAGGATTGGTTTAAAAACGTTAGATAAACAAGGCAAGTTAAAGACCATCACAGTGCCCGGAATTTCTCATACTGAATGGCATACAAATATTTCTATAGTAGATCAATTTTTGTTACCATACTTAGATTAAATAAAATAAAATTTAAGTAAAATAAGATTGAAAACTTGCCAAATATATATACTAAATTACTATTTATTATATATTGCCATATCTAACAAATTTAAACAAATTAGAACATTATTTTTATATTTTATTCCTCACATTTTATATATTTTATATTCGAATAGATTAATATAAATTTATGTACCCGTGATGGAAGTATAAAAGGTGTGCTCGTTTTTGAGACGAATTTCATACCGTTCTGCGCATAACCAGATGTGCATTTTAAACATTTACATCGCAGTAATTTTGAAGTGATATATTGCGGATATGAGTATGTGTCAAGTAAAAACGTGTACAAATAGTTTCCGAAAAAAAGGATGCAGAAATTTACATTTTTTTCGATTTCCAAAGGAAAGAACTCAACATAATGTCATAATGACATAATGCCAACTTCAAAAAACCGCGGCAACATGGCGTCTTCTAGATGTCGCTCTTCTTATGTTCAAAAGACGCAAGAACACACCTTTTATATTTCCATGCATGTACTTTTATGGGTGCACATGTTTTTGTGTGCATGCATGCTAATTGTATGCTCAATATATATGCTTGTTAATATATGTAGCACACAGTAAGATTTTTATATACATATACATAATTTTTTTATATACAAATATACAAAATATGAAGTCTGAATCTATGTATTTCAAAATATATATAGTGTAAATTAATAGGAAAATTTATTTAATATAAATTATTTAGATTTATATATATAAAATAAATAGGAAAAATTTATGGACGGCTTTTATATTCATTAATAACTTTATTAAATATTTTCCATTACAAAATTATCATTTTATTACTATTATTTTTTCTTTGACTATTTTTCAGAGTATTTTAAGAATGTCTTAAAGAGTGTATTGTTGGCTCAAAAATTGCCTTATATTATTAAATATCTATATATACAGGTTCCAACATTTGCGAATCATAACAAGAATGTTCTTCAGAAAATATAAAAATATTTGCTATGTATTTGCTGCTCTGAGCAGTAATTTATCAAACATTAAAGTTAAAAGGTCAATTATAGATTACAGTTAAACAGTAATTTTGTGGAAAACGATAAAAGTTAAATATATAGTTCGAGATAAAGATGAAAAGTAATAATCATCTAATTGTAATTTATTAATTGAGTCTTCATTATAATGTCTGAAAAATTATTGCGGAACAACAAATGGCAAATACTTTTAACTTTTTTTAAAACTTTTGTTTATAGTATTTGATCTATGTATTTTTATAATTAAATAATTTCCCTGTAGATATATACATACATATCATATTAGAGATTCTTAAGATAAAAAATTCAAAACTGTTATCACATACGTTTAATATAATAATCCACATAATTATTTAGAACTTTTTATTATGAGTAAAACGTGTGATGAGATCTAATGCCCATTTTGGTTGATCTGAAGGAACCATATGACCTGCATTTCGTACGAGAACTTCTGTTAAATTGTCAACGCTTTTTGTATAGCCCGCTACATTATTTCCAACCATCCATATTTTTCTTGACGTTTTCTTATACTTGTCTGCTCCGGACCATTGTAAATTTTTTAAGTAATTTTCCGTGAGTGGATATGCTACGATAATATCTAATTGTCCATTGTAAATAAGTACTCTATAATGCTGCAGAAGATCTGTCAATAAAGGTACTATGGATTGCATGACGTCTTCTTTCAAATGTTCCTCGACAGTTTTGGTTTCAACATGAAAAGTGTTATTGCCCACGTGTATAGCATGTCTGACGTCAGCTCTTTGTATCCATTCAGACATCCAATCGGAATCATTGCCATCTTTCGTAAACAAATAGTTGAAATAATAATCAAAACCAGTTAAATTGTGAAATAAGGATGGCGTGCCATTTAGATCGCCATTAAGGAGTGTATCAAATATTTCAAATGCTTCGAGATATTTCTTCTGTTTAATAAATTCGCGACCGTTGTTTTCATATACTTGAAATTGAGTTTTCCCATTTTCATCTATCAGCCCGAGCTGATACAAATAATCGCTATATAGCAATTGATTCTCTGGATCACACAGTCCGTTACCAATAGAAAGGCCTTTTAAGTTAATTTTTGTTTCTGCTTTGATATTATAATTGTTAATGGTATAAGACACTGCTGGTACATATTTACCAGCATATGATTCACCAGTGACAAATAAATCATTTTTTTGTAGCTCTGGGAATAACAAAAAGAATTGTATCAAGGCAGTAAGAATATCTTTTCCTACTTGTGTTTCATTCTTTACATATCCTCTTTCATCATCAGTGAAACTATATCCAGTACCAACTGGATTATCAATATATATTAAATTGTGTGCTATATTCCATGAATATTTTCGCATTGTCAAAGTTTTGTTAGCAGTAACTATAAATGGACCATTTTCCATAAAAAGACCAAACATAGAAGTTGCTCCTGGGCCACCTTGCAGCCATAATATTACTGGTGCAGTCTTTGGATTGTGCTATGGCACACAAATATGATTGTTTAATCTTGATTGTAAACCAACCTTAAATTGTAATGGAGTAAGGAACTGTCTAATCATATAATCTATACAACTTTTTTAATGCTTGAAGAATTATGTATATCATAAGTACTCGTAAAAAATATGTTAACAAGATTAAATGCAAATAAAATTTAAAAATATGGAAATTCTTATTGTATATACAACACTGTATAATCAAAAAATTTTTTATGATAACTATCCTAATAAGTAAAAAATGTTAGCAATGTGCTAACAAATTGGTATCAATTGTATTTGTATTAAGTGTGTTTTGCCGATAGAACTTTATATAATTTGACATAATCAACAATAGAGTGGCAGTAGAAACTGAGCGAATCCATTGAATGCAGAAATTATACGAAATTTATAGCTCTCCTTGAGATATAAATTCAGTCATAGTTCAAATTTTACAGAAAATATAGCACTTTACAAAATCTGTAATTTTTCGATCTAGATCTAGTTGTATAAGTATAATCTCTTTTACGAGGGGATTAATCGTTACTTACCATGGCTGGAAAAAACCAGAAGAACAGATTAGAATTGTACGTTTTATTAACTGTGAGATAACCCGAGTAACTGCTAATATCGCCCATTTCTTTGTGTTGGACGAGAGCCTTTGCTCGCGCCTCCTCAATTTTTCCATTTTCTATTAAAGGCGTCAGAAAAAGCGGCGCACCAACATCCTCCTCATCGGTGAGTTGAAACTGCTTCAATTTGGGGTATGCATTCAAAAATCCACTTATACTTTCGTGCGGTAATACGAGCAATAATGTGCTCAAAGTTAGCATAAGAACGCTGTACATATTGTTAGTTCAATGTTACAATCGATACTGTCTGATATTGCCTTGCTATACTGGGTACTGAACTAATTGAACTCAATAAATATATCTAATTGTAGCTTGTCATGTTAATTATTACTATATCGATATAATTGCTTTGTTTTTATCAATGACATGACAAATATACAAAAATAGGTTATGACACGTGACCATATTATTATGGAGTGCGTTCCAAAACTTGACTCTGTCAACCTGAGTATCATTTTATCTTTGTTGTTCACCGAATACTAAACAAGGATAAAAGATAATTAACAGAATTGAATTTTAGAATGTATTCAAACACCTTTAAAGGTATCTTTGCATGGGACTTGAGAGCGTTGAGAAGTTGTAATATCGATGTTATGAAACTGACCAATCACAGTTATTCCCTTTTTCAGAAGAATAGCTACGATTGGCTAGATTCATAACATTAATAATTCAGCGTATAATAAATCGGGCCGTATAATGGGCATCATACAGAACTTGTAATACATTTTGTACTGATTATATAAATAGTAAATTCAGGCTTAAGTATTATTTAATTGTAAAAGATATATTGCTTCATATGAATGATTTAAATAGCAACGGTCGAAATGAGATAGCAAAAGGCTAACTGTAGGCCTGTTTTTTTTAGTTGAACTTAGCACAGTTTTTTTCCTTTTCTCTTCAGGAGAAAAGAAGAAGAAAGATGAATTGATGCAAAAGTTCAGCCAAAAAAAACAGGTCTACAATTTTATATACAAGTGATGATGTTTTATAAAACAAAAAAAAAGAAACGTTTTTAACCAATCAATATAATGTTTTATTGAAAATAATATTATGTATATAGAAGATGATTGGTTAATTCGCTTGTCACTTATATGTAGTAACCAGTGTGTAAAACTGTAGCGCGGCATTTGCCGCTTGCTATATTATTATCAGCTGATCAACTACACCAAGGCAGTTGAAAGCAATACATTCCTTTCGCATTTGAGTTTTGAATCTGTTGTATCGTAGAATTGGCGATCGTACAAGGTTAGCATACTGTGTCTATATATAGATATATAATATATATATCTATGTATGTATGTACGTATGTATATATATATATAT